ACATTCTAACTAAGAATAGAGGGAAATAAGTAACATATTTCAGATATAATTTGCCTCCAAAATGTTTGAAATAAAGCAACTTTTATAATTCAAAAGAGTCAAGGTTCAATTACTCAAAGGCAAGAGTACCGGTTAAGGATGTGAATCTTGTGAAAACTATCTCACCCACTTGCCAGTTCTGTGAACTCTTATTTAACCTCTTTGGTTCTCTGTTACATAACCTATAAAATATTTTAGGTTTGGATACCTATTTTATAGGTTATGTAACAGAGAACCAAAGCTTATGGATATACCCCATAATCTTGTGAGGACTAAATGAGTTATTTCATGTAAAGCATTCAGAACAGTCGCACGATATATGTCAGTACTCAATAAATGGCTGTTCACTCAGGTGGGATACGTAATCCCCCAATGGTGCTAAATAAACAGAGTGTTTCTACCATAGCCAAGTGACAGATGAACACTGAGATGCAAATAGTCCCTTCTTAAAATAGCTTGTACATTACCCTGTCTATAAAATGAGACAATTTCCTATTAGTTTTCTTTACATTTAAATTTCCTAAAGTAGTTGCAGTAGTACCAATGAATCATACTCCAGCCCTATTCTGATTCTTTTCTAAACCTTTATTACAAACAGGTTTAAGAATTAAATAATCATTTAGAACAGAGCATCATCATAGAAAGAAAGGTGTAGGATTTTAAAACATAGTAACAGCTAATGGTTTCTAAGAGTTAATATGCGGCAAACACTATACTAAACATTTTCCTATACTCATCTTTATGGCTCACAACAACCCTATAGAGTACGTATGTTGTTCCCCCTGACTAAAACACCTAAGTCTCTTTTACTAGAGAGCACATTTTATTTCATTTTTTTCACCTTCTTGACCAGGCACACACAGTCTCCCACATAGAAGGGGCTGGGGACTGTTTGCAGGAACTGGTTTGTTAAAGATGACAGGCTGTAACTCTCAAGCCCAACTTGGCGAACTCTAGAGCGAGCACCTTCTTTTCCAGAGAAATATAAGGAACTCAGGTACCTCATCCCATTATTTCAGTCCCATTTGAGGTAACTTCCTTGGTTTGCTGAGAGGCTCACCCATTTGTGACATCATCCAGGTAACAATCTGATAATATTATTGTTCACAGTAACTTTTCAAAGAGTAAGATAAATGCTGAGGATCAATTTCACGGCTATATAATATGAAAATAAGCTATCACCATCATAACAAAATACACAACCTTGCAGATGTAAATGGCTCACTCAGCACAGCTACACACTCTAATACTGTACATGGTGCTTTGTTTCTGTCAATTACAAAGAAACATTTGATACAGCATTGTCTCCTTCAAAGAAATTAATAAATATGGCAGTAAATTTTGATTTTTAAATTAATCTTCAAAGAGTTTTTTCATATTTTAATTACACAATTCCACTTTTATGGCAGCTGCATTACAAATAATGGATCTGTTAAACTGCTTTGCCCACCATAATGTAACTTACTGTCCACTTTCGGCACCTCAGGCAATGTCCTAGCATTTACCAGTATACCTCATTCCCGTGTTTCTATATATAGTATTCTAAGACATTGTACCAATCCCTCTATTTCCTATGGGAAAAAAATATCTAATTCACTGAACACCAAATTATATACAATATAAGACAGGTATATAAGTGCATACATATGTTTGCAATTTAATCCTTACCATGACCTTGAAAGACAGTGATTATCTCTTTATTTTTAACCCAAGGAGACACTGAGGCAAAGAGATTCTGAGTTAGTAAATAATGTACCATGTATGTGCAAGTTTATTTATAAAGCCTAGCTCGTTCCTTTATTTCACACACTGTTTCCCTTCCAGCCCTCCCCGCTCTCTCTCATGCTTCAAGGTAGGCTTCTCTGATCATCAGTCCTCATGGTAGAAAAGACACATAAGGCCGGTGCGGTGGCTCATGCCTGTAATCCCAGCACTTTGGGAAGTCAAGGCAGGCGGATCACTTGAGATCAGGAGTTTGAGACCAGCCTGGCCAACACGGTAAAAACCTGTCTCTACTAAAAATACAAAAAAAAAAAAAAAAAAGCTGGTGTGGTGGCACATGCCTGTAATCCCAGGTACTTGGGAGGCCAAGGCATGAGAATCATTTGAACTCAGGCAGCAGGAGTTACAGTGAGCCAAGATCATGCCACTGGACTCCAGGCTGGGAGACAAAGTGAGATTCCATCTGGGGGAGGGGAGGAGGGGAGAGGAGGAGAGAGGAGGGGAGAGGGGAGAGGGGAAAGGGAGGAGAGAGGAGGGGGGGGAAGAGGGGGAGGGGAGGGGAGAAGAAGAGAGGGGGAGGAGAGGGGGAGAGGAGAGGGGGAGGGGAGAGGAGAGGGGGAGAAGAGAGGGGAGAAGAGAGGGTCTACTTCTTAATATCATCACCTTGAGGGTTAGGTTTCAACATATAGATTTTAGAGAGACATATACATTCAGAACATAACAAAACTACATAAAGTAATACTACCTGTAAAAAAGAACAATGCCAAAATGGTTCTTTCTGAAGAGTGCAATTTGTTTTATTCTTGTCTATATCTGTATATATTTTCTAAGTTCATTAAAAAGACCTAGGTATATAAGAGAAGAATAAAATTTGAGATAACATAGTACCCATTTTAAGAATCCTAAGATTTTTGGGGGAAAAATCATTTCTAAAATATTTAAGTTAGTGTATCTGGTTTAAAATGCATTAAATATTTCCTCTAGCTTAATTCTAATTTGGCTGTCTATCCTCAGGAAAAAAAAATTATATATATATATATATGTATATATGTATACATACACACGCACGCGCACACGCATATACACATAGATATGTGCCTGTGTGTGTATATATGAAGGTTTATATATACATAAAGGTTTAGGCACAAAAGGTATGAACCAAGGCATTCATCCAAAAAGTTTTATGGAGTACCTATGAGACACTGTGTACTATGTAGATACTACATGAGTACGAGGGCCCAATCCTTTTACAGTTTATATTTCTGTGGATAACTGTAGATAACAAGTTAATAAGCATATTAAAATGTGATTTCTGGTTATAAGTATTATAAAGGAAATTAACAAAATACTGTGTATGTTTATCAGGGACAGCAAAGACAGAGCCTGCTCCTATAGGAGGTCACCAAAAAACGTCCTGAAAAAAATACAAAACCAAAAACATCCAGACATGGCAAAAAGCTGAGGAGAAACAATCAAGACATGGGAAACTTCAAGTGCCAGGGCCCTCAAACAGGGAAAGAGTTTCACATACTCCAGCAGCAGAAAAGAAGCTGGGTAGATGGAAATGGTAAAAAGAGATGAAACCACAAAGGGAGACAGGGGCCAGATCATGCAGGGATTTGCAGGCCAGCTTAAAGCGTTTCTATTCTATCATAATTATGTGAGAATTCACTAAATGGGGGGAGAAAATTATGTATACAAGCTTCTGAGGTTAGATTGCAGAAGGTAAAGAATGGTAACAAGAAGTTAGGAAGGTACTGCAGGAATCCCAGTAAGAGGGGATGGTAGCCTAGACTGGAGTGATGGCAATGAGAATAGAAAAAAAAGCAGAAAAGCTCAAGACATGATATGCTGACTAGAACCCATAGTATTTACTGGCAGGAGGTCAGAATGTGGGAGATGAAGGCCCAGAACAATCAGGTATCCCTCTTAGGAGTCTGGCCAAATCATCACTTACAAAGCTAAAACTTAAAGTGTTTCTAATAACAAGGAATAGTTACATGTATTACGAACTATCCACGAGATGGAACATTACTAATGTTTGTGAAAGGTTTGCGTCTCTCTACTATCTAGGAGGTAATGATAGATATCTCAAATTTTATTCTTCTCTTATGTACATGATACATAGTCCTTCAGTTCCTGAAATGATTACTACAAATAATACCTACTGCTCTCACAGAGTTGTTGGGAGAATAAAATGTGAATCTATGATAAAAACTTAATACAGTGACTATACTCAATAAATTAAAGCTATCAGAAGTCATAGTAATAATATCTCACCAGTCAGAATTAAAAACGTATTCAATAAATGTTTTGTAGATGAATAGACAAGCAGATAAAAGAAATAATGTAATATCCAGGTCACCTGACTCAATCCCATAATCCTTCTACAAAACTATGCACTCTTCACCACAGGCGGGTAAAAAAAGATGAACAGTTTCACAACTGTTAGTTTGTGAAATCCACTAAGTGAAACCAAGAAATCCTCATTAGGGATTTTTGGTACAAATTATACAACAATGTAAGATCTACATTGTCACGTAGATTATATAGTTGAGTAAATACACAGTCAAGTGGATTAACTAGAGTAATAGGTAAGTTTCTGAGTCACAAAAATAATTGAAAGTTTACTGGCCTACTTACAGGCTGATGAGTCAATCCGAATACAATACAAAAAGAGCACACGACAGGAGAGACCAAGCAGCAAGGAAATATTAAAATGAAGTCAAAAGTTAGATGGTGATATGGTTTGGCTCTGTGTCCCCAGCCAAATCTGAACTCCAATTGCAATCCCCACATGTGGAGGGAGGATCTTGATTGGATGTGTGGCCCATAGTGGCAGTTTCCCCCATGCTGTTCTCATGATAGTGAGGAAGTTCTCATGAGAGCTGATGGTTTTAAGTGTGGCACTTCCTTGCTCTCTCTCTCTCTCTTTCTCCTGCCACCATATAAGATGTGCCTTGCTTCCCCTTCACCTTCTGCCATGATTTTAAATTTCCTGAGGCCTCCCAAGCAAGGCAGAACTGTGAGTCGATTAAACCCCTTTTGTTTATACATTGCCTAGTCTCAGGTAATATCTTTATAGCAGGGTGAAAACTAACAAATACAGATGAGGAATAGCAGTGAGTGCCTAAATAAGAGAACAGAACCCAAAACCTGAAAGGAAAGGAAAAAGAGAGATACCAAAAATCAGGATAAGTCTGAAAGACAATTACAAACTAGGCAAAGCAGGTACTTACCTCTCCCACTCCCAAGGCTCAGGCAAAGATCCACTGCTCCTAGGGGAAAGATAGAAGTAAAAGCCTACTGCACCTCAAGGACATAGAGACCCTCCTGACCCATGATCCCCCACCAAAACTAAGCAGAAGTACACTACTGCTAGGGGAAAGACACACAGAAAACTCTCCATCCCAAGTACTACCTCAGACACGTGGCAGAATTTGGCTGCCGTGGGAGGGAAAAGGTCAGGGGCAGAGGAGAAGACTGAAAGGGTCCCACTCTCAAGACTCAGGCTCACAAGCCCTACAAAAAACTGAGGGTAGACCATGAAAACCAAGAACTTCTCCAACCCCATTACAAACCTAGCACATATATAAGGGAATCCACTACAGAACAGGATGTTGCTGATACCTGCCAATAGAGCAGTGTCTTAGTCTCTTTGTACAGCCATAACAGAATATCTGAGACCGTGTAATTTATAAAGAACAGCAATCCATTAATATTTTCTCACTGTTCTGGAGGCTGGGAAGTCCAAAATGAAGACACCAGCATCGAGCAACAGTCTTCTTGCTGTGTCACCACATGGCAGAAGAGCAAAGAAAAAGAGACAAAAGGGAGTCACACTTCCCCTTTTATAACTACATTAATCCCACCTATGGGAGCAGAGCCCTCATGGTCTAAGTACCTCTTAAAGGTCCCATTTCTCTACTGTCACAAGTGCAATTATATTTCAACAGAAGTTTTGGAGAGGACAAATATTCAAACCATAGCAAGCAGGAACACCAATCCGTCCATCCAAAGCACAAAATAACAGTGACCTGCTGCCAGAGAAATTTCAGGTCTGTAGTACACTGAAGGTGACAGTAACAACAGCGCCATACCCCAGCCAACTAACTCAAAACTAACTCAACCTACCATACTAACGGTGTGACAGAGGAGGTATACCCATTTCTAGACATAGCTTCTTCTATCATTCAAAAATTTTAAGACACATTTAAAGAAGGGGGGGGGAAACATCATCAAGAGATAAAGCAAACAACAGAACCAAATAGAGATTATTCAGATGTTGGAACTAATCAGAGATGTTAAAATAACTATGATTCATAAATATGTTAAAAGATCTAAAGGAAAAGATTAATATGCTAAAGAATCTGAACAACATAATGAACAGATAGGAAATTTTAGCAGGGATACAAAAACTATAAGAGAATCAAATGGCAATGCTAAAATTAAAAATAAGAATGTATCGAAAATGGAAAATCCCTTTGACAGGATTATTCATGAACTTAGGTTAACAGAAGTCACCAAACTAAAACAGAAAAAAGGGGAGGGATATTTTTTAAAATAAAGAAACCATAAGAGGACACCATTATCAAATAAACATATACTTATTTGGTGTCCCAAAGGGAGAATACAGAAAGCAACGGACAAAACAATTATCTGAAACGATAATGGCCAAGATTTTCCAAAATTAACAAAAGACAACCAAGATCCAAAAAGGCCAGAAAGCCCTCTTAAAATTGGTTAAGTTATACTTACCTTAAATCAGGCAAGTCAAAGAAAAGTTTAATACAAAAAACATAACTTGAAATTACTATTAGAAAGTACATATGTAACAGATATTGTAAAAATATTTTCTATTACATATAAAAAAACAGCATTCTATCTACCATCTGCACATGAAAATAAACTCAAATGGGCTCAAACCAAAAAAAAAGATGATAAAAGACAGAAAAAAAACCTGAACTATAAAGTATAATCCAATAATTAAACACATATTATAGTTTTCTGCCAAAAGCCACTAAACCAATGAAGACATTGACTGTATCACTTTGATGAAAAACTGTCAATTTTCAGCAAGTACATTAAATAAAAGCATTCAGTTATGAGTTACAAAAACAATTATTGTATATGAATTTAGTAAATCCTCTGGATGACAATTCCACTTTGTAAAAATTCTATTACCCACAAATTTATTTATGGTTTTTCATTTCCATTATTGTGAGAATTTATGTTAGAGTAACAGGAAAAAGAAGGGATTTACAGATTGATAAAAGACTTTTAAAATACAACACTAAGTTAAAGGAAACCCAGGTAAAGTCCCATTTGGCCTTAAAAGTGTACCTCTGTGACTGAAAAGTGGGAAAATGCTACAATCCAAAGACCTACCTAAGTGGTGGGAACAGAGCCAGGAAAGACTGTCCAACATCCTCATGTCTCTTAATATAAAGGCCCTAGAGGAAGAATTCGAACTTTACCAATACCCTGCTCCTTGAGAGGTTTCATCCATACTAGTGGCGAACATTCAAAGATTTCTTAAATAAGTTTACCTCAAACCTTTTCCATTTGATTCATCCAAGTCAATCAACATGTCTGAGATTGTGTGGACCCCTAAGACATGTGAATCAACAATTCCAAGTAACAAAAACAAGACACCTAGCTTTTCATGGACTGGATGCTCCTTTGTTTATACACTACCTACTACAAGCGAAAATGGGTTTGCAAACATCCCATAAGCTACAAAAGGAAATTCTGAGCTCTTCCTAATAATAAAAGAATGATAAATGGAAACTAACTTACCTGGATTACTAATTCAAAACATGCAAATTATTACTATGGTATTTTCTCTTAGCAAATATAAATATTAATAAGGGCATTTGTGGGGCTACAGACTCTCACTCTGAAGTCTATTTTTCCTAAAGGTCTGTTTCCCAATTTGAAATTTTGCTAGGATAAGATTTTTCAGAAACATCCCCATAATAATTAGAAAGGAATTGTCTACAAATACATCATGTCTTGCTTGGGAATTTGTATTTAACTAAAAACAGCTCCCATTTATCTAGAAATCTTGAAGACTACTAAATACAAAGACTTATCTTTTCATTCCTACAGAGTCTGTTCTCATGTTGTTACATTATAAGGTAGAGGCCTGAGACTCATAACAGCTTCTTACTCCTTTACTAATCTAGAATATGAAGAAAAAATAATCCTAATTATTAACATATTCAGGACTTATGATGACTATAATCCTATAAGACTATAAGATGAATATTAATCTATTCAGGGCTTATCATGACTACCAGCCACCTGCCCAAAAACAAGCTTAAAGACTTCAAAATGTAAAACTAAATTTTTAGTACACTATACAAGCTACCAGATAATTTTATAAACATGTTTAAACAACTCATAAGATTATTCATATATAAGTTCAGTTAAATTCAGAGAACCAGCCTATGTGCATATTTCTATAAGATTTTAAAACAGATCTCATAAACACTATATAATATACGGCAAAAATAACACAAAACTAGGAGTTAATAGAACTGAGTTCTAATTCTAGGTCTGTTACACTAAGTTAAAGTTGATACTAAATTAAGAATATGGGTATGCTTTGTATAAAACTCAAAGAGATTTATCATTGTGACTGTATAACTGATATTATAAATGAGTTAAAAGATTAATAAATAATACCAATGTGCCATTCAACTTCAATTAAAGGAATCTAGAAACTAGTGAATACTGGAATGCATAGCAATCATAACATGAAGAAGCCACCAATTCTAAGATCATATATGCATGTAACAAAACTACAATTGCCCAACAAACAACTAGAGCATTAAAAGTAAAATCATGACAGCAGCAACTTCATTAGTTTAGTTTTCTCCTATTTCTCCAGCACCTAAAAAGTATCTGCTGTCTAGCACATAGCAGACCTTCAAACATCTGTTGAATAAATATCCCCCACAACTACATGGCACAATGTAACCTCAGTCTATGCCTAATACTTGCTGATTTTACTACTTCCAATTTCATATTAACCAGCACTTGTTTAATGTTCTTAAAATCTTTGAGACTACAAATCAAACTGTAACCTTTTAAATAATCCCATTCTTTTACTTCCCTAAACTCAAAAAGATATCAAATTATCAATTAAAAGACGAGAGTTCATAATTTAAGCCAAATGAGTAATATATTAATAATAACTACTCAGCTTATGTAAGTGAAGAACTGAAAGCTGATCCTATAACATTTTTCCACTAGAAGTTACCAGTCACCAACAAAGATGTACCACAGTTCCTCCTAAAAGTACTTACCAGTGGTTGGCATTGGGTGTACACTGGGGGTGCTGGGGTCTAGTGGTCAGAGAAAACTCTTGGGCAGGCAGATAGCTTCTCAGTGGCAGAGCATAGGGGATTCTGTGTGCCGGAGATCTCTCCAGCACCAGGAGCAACTGGAGGACACCAAATAGCTGCAGCCTGTGGCCAGCCATCCAGGAGACTTCGGCAGGAGCCCTGGGTTCCCTGTGCAGACAGTTCCAAAGGAGGCTGCCCCTGACAGCTGTCAACCTCAACCTCAGGGGAGGCCCTTCCTGGAAACACCTGGAAACCCCATAGCCAGGGCAGCAGAGCCTCCAGGTTGCAGCTCACTCAGCTAAGAGTGCCTTGGGTGCCATGCCCCAGAGAATCCAGGAGGCCTGCCACAGTGACACCAAGTGGCTGGTGGAAACCCAGGTGAAGGCCAGGAGGAAGAAGAGAGGGGCACAGAAAGGCAGTGGATCCCCAGCTTGCAGCCTGAGCCAGAAGAGCACCCAGCCATCTGGAGGCGTCCCTGCCCACTCAGCCGCTGACCCCTGGGAGAAGGAGCATCACTACCTCTCTGTCCAGATGGGTTCATATACCTACCCACTACGGTGGTTAAGGTGGCAGGCTGCCTTCCAGAGCCCCCTTCCAGAGCCCCTACTTCTCGACAGAGCCCCTCTGCTCTCCCAGCGAGACTGACAGTGACCTACAGCCTATGGAGGCAGGAATTCAGCATCTCCAGAAGCTGTCCCAACAGTTAGATGAAGCCATTTGGGCAGAGGAGAGTGGTGACATGACCGTCTCTCTCACTCATGACTGAGGAAGTGTCCTGCAGAAAACAAGCCCTGTCTGATCACCAAGACTTCATACCCAAGGATGTCTGTGCTTACCTATGAGCTTCCTGGAGGAAGGAGTCATTAGTAACCGTGGGTCACTGCTAGCAAGGACCTAACAAGGGGCCCAGAGCCCCCCTGCTCCGG